CATACCCATACACCAGGTGGCAAAAGCAGCAGCAAGTGGCAGACTTGATATAGAAGGCATCATAGCTCCCTCCACCAGCTTTACACTGGCTGCTCCCATGTGCAGAGAGGTTAGCAGACTGGAGAATCCAGCCATTATCTATAGCAGGGGTGGGCAAACTACAGCCTGCGGGCCATTTTAAGCCAGCCTGCAAGCCGCATCACATGGCTCGGCCCTACTCAGACGCTCCAGCCAGGGCGCTGGGTCGGGGCCGCACCATGCAGCTCCCAGAAGCCATGGCATGGCCCTGCTCCAGCTCCTACACTCTCCTTGGGAGCTGCGGGGGCGGTGGTTGCGGATGGGGCAGCATGCCGAGCCACCTGGTCCCGCCACTGCATAGGAGCTGGAAAAGGGACATACCACTGCTTTTGGGAATCGCTTGAGGTAAGCACCGCTCACAGCCTGCACCCTCTGAGCCTCTCCCCATGCCCCAACCCCCTGCCCCAGCCCTGATCCCCCTCCCATCCTCCAAACCCCTCAGTCGCAGCCCAGAGCACCCTGCTACACCCCAAACCTCTCATCTCCAGCCCCACCCCAGAGCCCGCACCCCCACCCAGTGCCCTCAGCCCCTCCCGCACCCCAACCCCAATTTTGTGAGCATTCATGGCCCGCCATACAATTTCTATTCCCCCATGTGGCCCTCGGGCCAAAACGTTTGCCCAGCCCTGAGCTATATAGTTACACACATGCACAATCAGTTCATTTTCAGCTAAAGAAGGTAGCCTGCATAGCCCACCAACACAACTCCTGAAAGCAAATTACTAAGCAGTTAAGTTATTCAATACCCAATTAACATTCATCATATCAATTCCTCTTCTCAACCTGAGCGACCTCCCACTGCCCATATTCCTCTATCAATCTCTTTTATGTGGGGATTGGTTCAGTAGTTTCTCAGGCTGAAGAGCCCCATCTGCTAAATCAGCTAAACTGCTTCTTTCAGCCTACCAGGTTTTCCTAGGAGATCTCCTGTAGTGCACCAGCCCAACCCAGATGAGCTGATGAGATCTCTCAGTTTCACATGCTGAGGTGTTATGGCCACAGGCTATGCAGGGACACCGACACTCTTATACCCAGCCAAATATTTTAAGCTGGTGCTAAGCGCGTGTCAGTAAATAAAACATTATCAAAAAACATTGTTGTTACCATAAAACAAGTAGTAGAAAGATGGGTAATTCGGAGTGAAGATTCCATGGAAAATAACCCCAAACTTTTGAAAGTATGGGAGATTACAAGTAAGGCTACAGCTCTCCCCCCGCCCTAGCAACACCAACTCCCACCTTCCTGTCATGACCGCTTTATAAAATCGAGTAGTTTGGATCAAGACTGTCTCCTGCAGGTGCGGCTCCTGCTCATTCTGGGAAAACACTGAGTTCCCATCACCCTGATAATATTGTAATGGACGCTCATACAGATCCAACCAGCGGACCAAATTCAATGATGAATCCTGGTCCCGTGTCACCTGAGGCACGTTGCGCATACGCTAAGAAGACTAAGTCCATTCCCAGAAAGAGCGAAGTCCTTCAGCCTCTAACAAGAGGTAAAGAAGGCAAAAGGTGTGTCTGGAACCTAACCCTCCACCCAGCTTTGGTCAGAAGGTTATGGACAGAGCTTTCCTTTCCCAGCAAGGGGTGCTGCAAAAGGCTATGGTGGGCATACACAAGAGGAGAAAGCCTAAGGACCTAAGGGGGAGACACTGGTGGGAAAGGTGCAGGGGACAGTAAGGTCTACCCAAGTGAAGCGGTCCTCAGCATTCCAAGCACCAAGAGGCATGTCATTACTTCAAGCACACCAAGGTCCAAATCCACAAAGATATTTAGACCCCTTGATTTCTGTGAGAGTTAGATGCTAAAGTACCTTTGAAGATCTGAGCCCGAGTGACTAGAGCAGTGTTGGTGCCTTGAGTGTCTGGGTTAATGTAACATGTGCCTTGCAGGGCTTATCAGTGCCTTCAGTACCTGGGGAAGTATATCATACCCTGGCATCTTATAGGAGGCTTTCGGTCCCCTAGAGAGCCTCAGGAGGCTCATCAGTCCCTCCAGTGCCTTATGAGCTCTGCAGGAGGTAAACTCAGGCCTGCAGAACTTTGCATATGTGGGGACTTCCGGGAGTGTGTGTGTGTGGTTGAGCGCTCTGGTTTGCTGTAGCTAGGCTTGTGGTCTAGCAAATGCAGTGATGCTCCCTAGTACTTAATTTTCTAAGCATCTTCAAAGCCCCGATGCCTCTTACGGAGGCCCCCAGAGTCCAGCATGCCCCATGTGACATTGCTAGCTCAGCATTTAATAGCATTTAAAATCTGATGGCAAGATTCAGATGTTTGTTTCTCTGCCCCTGTAGGTAGGTCCAAGAAATTTGATTGTAATATTTTCCCGCTTTCCATCCTCAGGCTACAATCCGGCAAAAAGTCCAGCCACATTTTCTAGCTATGGGGAATGCTGGGCTTTGTTTCTTAAAGCCCTTTTAGAAACAGCTCACCTCAAAGGCGGTGAAAGTTCTCCACTGCACACAGACTGAGTTTGAAGCTGGAAAGACTGTTCTTGGGGATTTCAAAGGCAGGACTTCCTAAATCAGTCTTGTGATGGAAACCAAGAGTCTGACTGAATTATGACAAAGCTTCTGCCACCCCGGTATAAAAGAAGGTGGGCTGCGCTGCATCAAACTAGTGGAAGATTCGTGGTGAGCTTGGTTATAAAAGACCAAAGAAAGGTTTCCCTGATCATATAACAGGGCATTGTAAGAGCGAATTTTCTGAAACCAATATGCAAACGTCCAGAAAAAGCTGCCTGAGTCAATTATGGGTTTCTTGTTTGCGGTGCCTTAAACGTACTCGGAGGTTTTCACACCTCTAACTTGGCGGGATGGGATATTTTAACTTGTCTACGAGAGGGAGCATGAAGTCACACCCACAATGGTCAGATGTACAGCAAGCTCACAACAGCCACAGATGATCATTTCAGTTGGTTACCTGGATCTAACATGTTTCTGACCCACTTTTCACTTTCACTTCACTTTCCTCTTGATGGCTTCTTTAAACTCTTTTATTGCAGACACGTCTCTCTGCGTGCAGCAGTGACTGTCTCTCTCTGCCTCGGTCTCTTCTTTTATTGCTTTTTTCTCTTCCCTGCCACACAACAGCACTGTCACACCATCAACCCTACCTCCCCCTATTTATTTATTTATGCTGGCAGTAATATCAGTTTAGGCTTGAACTTGCTAAGCAAGGCCTGGCAAGGTCAGTGCTTTGGTGGTAAATAGTTCAGTGCACAAGGAAAATAGGGTCGAGGATTCAGAAGATGGTAGTCTTCCCTCTCCATCAGTATTGATGCAGAAAATTCAGTACGACAAGCAACGCGAATGGAATGGACAGGCTGACAATGTAAACCCACAAGAGTCAGAAAGTTAAAGGTTAAAGTTCCAAGAGCCATAACTCAGCTGCAGAGAAGATACTATGAAAAAGCTTCTCTGCTCTGAAAAGTGACTGTAAAAATGGCTCCTTCCAACTCCCCAAATCTGCTCCTTGTGAGACTCAGACTATGATTAGCTGCCTTGTGGCAAAACTAAATGTTTACTGCTTACCACTCCTGTCAGCCCTGCAGATGCAACCCAGCTGGACTGTATTCCTCATCAACAGATTTGTTTAGTAAGTCCCAATCAATTACACCTGTTGAAACCCTTTGACAACAGTGGGTGTCACATGTGCCCAGTAGACCCTCCATTATTATTGGTGATGATGCATGAGAAGCAAAGAAATCTGGGCTGACTCTAATGGCCTAACTTTTAGGTGCCCTACTGCGGAGTGGAATCCATAACCGAGTGGGATGCCCTGGCACCCTATACAATGCATGGGGAGAGTTAGGCACCTAAGAATTGGATTCGCAGAAGCCAGCACTCTGAGTGGGGAGCTGCTCAAGCTAGCCTGTCAGAAATACTGAGGAGAGGGGTAGGGCTTATGTTTAGGCCCCACCCTCAAAGGGAGTTAGCATCTAGCTCTGGGCCAGAGGGAATCACCAGCCCCACTTGATTCAAAGCAATGAACCCTCTCCGGGAGTTGGGCATTTAAGCCAGGTCAGCTCTTTCTAGCAAAAAAAAAAAAACAAGGAGGAGGCAACCCCCTCTCCCTTATACACAGTAGCCCAGTGGTGAGGGCACTCACCTGCAAAGTGGGAGACCTTGCTTCAAGTCCCTGCTCCAAATCAGGCCCAGCGGGGACTGGAACCAGTTGGCCAGTAGACAGGCCACATCCTAAAGAAGAACCTAGCCACTGGGCAGGCAGGCACCAGCCCTATTGTCTTTTGTGTGGGGTAGGCGTGCCCTGGGCATGCCTTCCAGATCAGGCCCCAAAGGCAAGATAGGGAGGGAACACGTCCTTTGTGAATCCTGCTAGGGCTCTGAGCAGCTTGGCAGCATCAGAGAATGTCACTGATGGAAACTTAGGCACCTAGAGGGTTGGCAGACGCTCCGCAGGGGTTTTGTGAATGCCAGCAACATCCATTCTAAATGCTGTATTTAGGCACTGTGACGGGGCTCCTCTGGTGCAACCAGGACCTTGGCACTGTTGAGCCGTCCAAATGCACCAACCTGGGCTGCCTCTCACTCTGCCTCTCAAGCTGATGTCAAGCTACAAACCTCTGACAGGAACTGCACTTCCACAGCCATCCACAGGCAGGCACATACTCAACCAAGTTACATGACTGACCTCCCAGTCACTCATGAACTGTCAGTAGAGAGGCTCCAGCCAATTCCCCCCAGCTCCCCAGCCTTGCATCCAAGAACTGTACCATCTTGCACTGCTCAAGGTTCCCTTGGACAGTGCAAACTCATTAATAAGTTCACCACTTCTTCATAGAAAGTGGACATGCACCAGCCTTTGTAACCTGAGCTGAGATTCTCTATGCATTTCAATCAAAACCAAACTGTTTTAGGTAAAATATAAAACAGATTTATTAACTACAGAAAGATAGATTTTAAGTGATTATAAGTAGCAAGCATAGAGATCAAAGTTTGTTACCCAAGAAATTAAAAATAAATTTGCAGTCTAAATTCTAACTTAAACAGACTAAGCAAGATTTGAATCAAGCAGTGTCTCACAAGAACGGATGGCACAAAAAGTTCCTCAGTACACAGACTGGACTCCCTACGTGCCTGGGACTAAACTTCCCCAGTTCAAAGTCTTTGTCTTCTAGATGTTCTTTCAGGGGTTGAGTGGGAGACCAAGTGATGATGTCACTCTCCCTCTTTTATACTTTCTTCCAGCTGCCAGAAAGATCCTTGCTGTGACGTGTTAGTCCGATAGTGGATGGGTGTTGAGGAGCCATTAACGCCTGCCAGGGCAGTGATGGCTACTCCTTTGTTGTAGCTGAAAGGTTGGCTGTGGGTGTCTCCCAAACTCACAAGATATGACAGTAACACACACATAGCAAAACTTCATAACTTTGCATACAATTATAGCACATACGATCCAACAGGATATTAAAGCTCAACCAATCACAACTTTTAAAATGATACCTCACAAGGTATACGTTGTACAAAATATATCATAACCATATGACAGTGGTGAATATGGAGGTTCCAAGGTGCTACTTTGGGATACAGAGTGTCACAGGTACCTAAAGGGGCAGTTAGGTGTCTAAATCCCACTTGTGAATAGCCCTTAGATCCCAGATTGAGTTTGCAGGGATGGCAATTAGAAAAAAACACCTTTTCACTTATAAAAGGAGCACATTTGATAGAGAAGTTGAGGAGCAATAAACACAAATCATTATGCCATTATTACAGTAAAACTGCATTTTCAGGCACACATTTAGCAGCAATCACAAAAGGTATGTGACACCCCTTAACTTCCGCAATGGCTGTTGAAAACAGTTTGGATCTGTTCACAGCTATAGACAATTTTTGCATTCAGTTGAGGATGCTCCTGAGAGGACCAATTGCTAATACCAAATGGCAACAAGAAGTCATTTTTCCCAGTGTAGGTGCACCTTTAGGCCAATATCCATACTGACTTTTCCATTACTGCAGGCATAATACTGGACTTCATGGCAAATGGCAGTGTAACAACCTGCAGCCCAGTATCAAACATCACTGTTTCCAGTATATAGAAAGGCAGACTTTCCAGAAATACTCTGGAAATTGTAGAAATAGCGTTCTAGGCATGGAAATCATTCCTGCCACTTTCCAGTGGCTGTCTGCCTCCACTGTGTACTTTGTCGGGAAGACCAATATGGGAATCTTATCCAGGTTTGAACTGGCCAGGCCAAGGTACTCACTGTAGTTGTTCTATTTTAGCTACGTATTCTAGTCATTTTTTAAAAAATCCGATACTTTTATTAAGCCTTGGTCAGCAGAAATAGCATAGCCGCCAGAAATAGCTTCCTGGCCAGGCCTCGCATCATACCTCATCACTGCGATTGTTTCTGCCGTGTAAAACTTCTGGCTCAGTTAAGTCAGAATTCTAATTATCAGTCCTTGTTAACACTGAGAACTACAGTCTAATCAACCAGTAAGCGCTCCTTGCTCACAAAATAATAGGCATCACCAGCCACACATAGTAGAGGTTTGCCGCAATTTTCCATGTCCACAATCAGCTGCGGGTGAGGACTTTGAATGCTCTGTGTCATGTCTCAGATATTCATTAGAAGGCTCCTCCCCGTCCCTCTTTCAGATACCACAGTGTCGTTGCTAAGGAGGCCAGAGTTAAAAGTGACCTGCAAAGGGAATATGAACATTACTTTAAACCACAGAAATACATGCTAAATACTCTCACTAACACAGCTGGGCAGGGCATTCAACACGTTAATAGGTAGAGCCCTGCACGGATACAAAAATTTGGATCGGCATCCAATCTGCATCTGCAACAATTAATTTGTATCCGACCCCTGGGATCCACACTCCACCTTTTATATATATATTTATTCACATCTGCACCAGCACCCTATCTCACTGTTAGAGCCCTGCACGGATGCAAAAATTTGGATCGGCATCTGATCTGCAAAGATAGTAAAAATACACCTGCATTCGCAGATGCAGCTATCGGCAGATATAAAGCAGATATCTGTGGATTTGCAGGGCTCTATTAATAGGCTTTCAATTACCTTTGTAAACTATTCATTCTCGCAGGTATTGGAATGCTCAGCTAGAGCACTGAGTCAGCTTATGGGGTCTCCAATGAACCTCTGATGAGGTTTGGTTTAAATAAAAGAATCTCATAAGAATGGCCATACCGGGTCAGACCAAAGGTCCACCTAGCCCAGTATACTGTCTGCCGACAGTGGCCAATGCCAGATGCCCCAGAGGTAATCATCAAGTGATGCATCCCATTGCCCATTCCCAGCTTCTGGCACATATCTGACTTCTAATGGCGCCGGTGGGTGCTCAACCCCACCTCTGCCCCCGGCCCTGCCCCGACTCCACCCCTGCCCCGCCCCCTCCCACTCCCATTCCAACCCCTTCCCCAAAGTCCCCACCCCAACTCTGCCCCCTCCCTGCCCCATTCAACTCTTTCCCCAAATCCCTGCCCCGGCCCCGCCTCTTTCCCGCCTCCTCCCCTGAGCGCACCACATTCCCGCTCCTTTCCCCCCCCCCGCATATATCCAATTGACACAGCAACAGCTGTTTGGCGGCGGCAAGCACTGGGAGGGAGGGAGGAGCGGGGACATAGCGCGCTCAGGGGAGGAGGCGGAGGTGAGGAGGGGCGGGGAGCTTGGCTGCCGGTGGGTGCAGAGCACCCACTAATTTTTCCACGTGTTTGGCAGCACAACAAGCTCTGGGAGGGAAGGGGGAGGAGCGGGAACATGGCGCACTCAGGGGAGGAGGCGGAGAAGAGGCGGGCCTGCAGCGGGGATTTGGAGAAGGAGTCGGAATAGGGGCAGGGAGGGGGCAGATTTGGGGCGGGGACTTTGGGGAAGGGATTGGAATGGGGCGGGGCAGGGGCGGGAGGGTACAGGGCAGGGCTGCAGTCGGGGCAGGGCCAGGGGCAGATGGGGGTCGAGCACCCACCGGTACGAGCAGAAGTCGGCGCCTATGACCCAGACAAAGGTGGGGAGGGGAAATTGAGTCAGGGAGAGGGGAAATTGCTGATCCAAGGTCACTGAGCAGGCCAGTGGCAGAAGCAGGAACAGAAGGCAGGTCTCCTGACTCAAGTCCAGTGCCTCATCTGTCTGTTCAAAGTCACTTTGACTGTGAGTCACATGCAGCGGCCCTGTGCTGCTGGGTGTGGATTTCCAACAGTACGGGGAGGGGTAAGGGGGGATGGGGGGTTCTTGGAAGATCACTGTAAATGAGGGGTACAGGCATAGGAGAGAAAGGGAGGAGTGCTACTGAGACTTGGCAGGAGATGGGCAGCTGGCTCCAGGCTAGGGAGGGGCATGCCGACCGTTCCTACTGCTGTTCATATGGCTGATCATCAGCAGCTAGTGCTCCCCTCCTCCCCCCCGCCATCTGGATGGCTGGTGCCCTCTGTGCCGACACCCCCCACCCAGGTGCCAGTGCCTGTCCCGCACCGCACCTCAACAGCTGGCACGTGTGCCCCTGCCCCGGGCTGGCGTCTCTGCCGGAACCCACAGTGGAAGCAGGGAGAGGAGAGCTGGTCCTACATGCTCCCCGGTAGCCAGCCCAATCCCATGCACCTCTGGGGCCCGCTCTCACCTCTACAAGCTATTGTGGGAGTAGAAAGCACTGGGGGAGGCAGAAGCATAAATCCCCTCCCCCCAAATATGTCCACTGCGTGGGCACTAGGCCCCCCCACGATTCCACCGCGCCTGCCCCTGTTGTAGGGGAAAGGTTTAGATCCCAAAATAGCCTCATTGTTATAAGACTGAATAAAATTCCATGACAACGGCATCTTTTCCCAGAAGCTCCCGAGTTGCGACTCGGCTGTGACACAGATTCACCTCCTGGTCTCGGGGCAGGTCATTTGATCCTTTCACCTCACCAGTGGGGGAGGGTGAGGGCGGCCTGAGGATGAACAGCTCTTCGTTGTTCAAATATTTGGAAGCCGAAAATCACAATATTAAGTCTGGGGGGTAAAATTCCTTGTCAACCATCCCTTTAACTCACACCACGGCCACTGCGCTTTGTCAGTAAATGCTTGGGCCCTATGAGTCAGGATGGGGGAGTTGGTTACCTTCCAAGCAGCCGCCTGGAGCCTGGCTTTTGCTTATCAAGGCTTGTCCTTGAGCGCTGCATTCCCAGTGGAGGAGTTCATCGGTGTTTCATTCACGAGGCACAAACCGGTTATTTCTCAGGGAGCAGAGATGCAGCATGTTCCCAGAGTGTATTTGTTAATGGTGGGAACAGCGTTAGGGGGCAGGTTTTGGGAAGCTGCCATCCCTTGCTGACAGATGTCGATGTCAGGTCCTAGGCAAAGCAACTTAGCAGGGGAAAATGGGGTTGTGCCCTGTTTATGGGGTGTCAGGGAGGCCTGGAAAGTAATGCTGGTTGGCTGGATTTGAACCAGTAACCAGGGGCAGGTGAGCAGGGCACACAGCCTGGGGGGTGCCAGCTTCCAGGGGGTACTGCACTGCTGTGCCATTCAGCTTTTTTTCCCCCTACACACTGTGTTGGTCAGCTGTTTTTGCTCCATTGATTGGCTGGCTGTTTTGGGGGGGTTTTTTTGCTTGACCCACTTGGAGGCAGGGGGGAACCACAAACATTTTCCTCCCTGGCCAACAAAACAGCTAGGGCTGCTCCTGCCAGTGGCTGGGTGGTAAAAGGCTCCATCACCCATTACCAAGCCTTGGCGCCTTCCAGCCCCTTTGCTCTGGCTGAGGTCATTGCAGCTACAGCCTGCTCGTGAAGGAGGTGTGAAGATGCTGTACCACCCCAACCACACACAGATGCCGGCCCAGGAGGGATTTTGGTTCAGTCCTCCAGGCGCCAGAATTCTTCCTGCTACAGAAGCAGCAGCTCCAACCGTCTTGGGGGTGGGTGGAACGTACTCACTTCATGCCCAGCCAGCTCCACTGGCCAGTGTGGCGAGGCTCACCCTGCATCATTTAGCGCCGCCACTAGTGCTAACTAGTATGCACAGGCTGTGCACTCCCCAGACTGCAGCAGCCCCCGGTGCAAGATGGCGGCGCTCACTGAGTCCTCTCCCCATCGTCCTGGGCAGAATCAGCCACAGCCCCACCCTGCATATGTACGAAACACTGGCATGAAATGCCGTCAGCTCCATTGCAGGCATTGGGACGTAGAATGTCAGCGTGGAATTTCCAATTACCGCAGTGTAGCCTGGTGCGCTGCGTTAACACGAAGAATCAGCATTTGCCCACAGCTACCATGGAGTGATATCTGCAATCTTCACAGCTTATCCTTAGACTAGGAGATACCTTGGTAACCATGTGGAAACAGTTGGCAAGTGCTGCATTTTTATGGCCTTACTTTATGTGCGTCTGGCTTCTGCTTTCTGTATGATTTGGAGCAAAATAGGGTCTGGAAACCACACTGTGCAGCAGTAGGAGCGCCTCAAATCTGAGTGACTTGGCCATTTTTTGAATAATTTAATTTAAAATAAAAAAGGGTTAAATGCAACATTTCAGATAAATTCTTACACACAAAACAACTCCCACACAAACCCCCTTCATTCCAAAGTCAATACAAAGAATGTGTTATAAATGTTCTAAAGATGGCAATCACAAGAACATTTGATATGGCTGGAGAACAACATTAATAAAGCTAAATGGAAAAGCCAGTTCTGACTTAATTATAAAGGCGCCTCTGTAATAATCTCATGCACTTCCAGCAGGCTGAGAGGCTGCATCTGTAGCTCAGTTGTAAAGTGATTACCTGCAAAGAGGGAAATCTGGGTGAGACCAATCTGGGCCATCAGACAACTGCAACTGGCAGTGTGGTCATATATTTTACATCTCTGATCTGCTGAGTTGCCACCGCACCTGCAAAGGAGCAGGGTGAATGGGGCTGCAATTTCAGGGAGGATTGCTACCAAACCAAAAGGGAAAGCTTGAAAATGGATTCTGTAGTTTAGGAGTCTGCAGGCTGTGTTAGGATCTGACCCTGCAAGGTGCTGTGTGGCCTCTGCTCTCACTGACTTCATAGGAAACTGAAGCTGCCAAGTACTCTGCAGGAGTGAGCCCTTAACGTACATTTCCAGGATATCTCTTAATTAGAGATGGGCCTTAGAGACCCAGGCCCCTTAATTAGAAAGGAGAGCTGCAAAATTCAGATCTGGTTTTCCAAATTCCCCAAAGCGTGGGAGGGAAGGAGAGAGAGTTTCCACATTCAAGATGAGTTGAAACAAAGTTCAGATGTGAATTTGGATTCTGAAGGAAAAGATTCTGGGCCTGTTCAGTGAGTCTTATTTGGCTGGTATATTTGAGTGTGATTTTTTTTTTAAATGTTCATTATGGCTAATTTAGTGCTGATGAAAGGTGCTGGACTAAGAGTCTTGGAAATGGAAGGCTGCAGAGCAGGGCAACAGCAGAGAAGTTTTCCCTCACGCTCTCTCCCTGCCAAGGTGCAGACAAGCTATTACTTTCATTGATGCCCAGTTTCAACACATGAAATTGAGATGAAAAGGGTTTGAAATGGGCATTCCAAAATACATGTGTTCTTACACCTGAGTGCTTCACAATGACAGGTGGCTTGAGTCACCGTTGGGGTGGAAAAGAGGGACGGGCAGATGGGTGAGTGAGGGCTTTTCATGAGTGCTCAGTGTCACAGCCAAAAATAACAGCTGTCACAGCTTAAA